ACGGATGGTGTGCCAGATACAAAACAAGCACCAGCAGTGAGGCATTTCAAATGCAATTCTGGCTTGCCTTTGGCCAGTTGAGCAGCAGCCAGTGGACCATGGAAGTCGGTCCTCCATCCCCAAACGTGGTCACCCCCCCTCCTTGGCTTCATTAGGAACAGGGATCTTGTATCATGGGCGGTGGGCGTACCCGCTGATTTTATAGGTGAAGTATCAACGTGACTGGCTGACTATTTCGCTTGACAACAGGCCGGAGTTTCCTATCAGTTGGGCCTTGAGTGAAGAAAGCGAATCACTAACCAAGCACAATATTCTGCCATGCTGCTTGCTCGCGACAACCCCTTGGCCTTACCACGAGTATACATAGGGTCTCTCAGTACTCCGTAACTGGATACATGGCTCGAAGTTTCGATACCTCAAAGCTGGAACTGTTAGCTTGTGCTCCGCAGATGTGCCGCCATGCCACTACGTGACCGTACTCCATGTGCGTATTCCATAGCTAGGTATGTGCTTCCTACTAGTACTAGAAGATCAGGTCTGCCCTTCTGTCTAGGCTTGCTTGCCTCGTCTTTGTCCGAGACATTTCATAATACAAGAAAACCACGAGGGTTGTCTCTCCGGAGATGAGCGACCCCGAGCGATCCCCGGTCGAGCTTTACAGCGCTTCGATTCTTCATCCCGGTTCATAGTAGTGCTGTCCCCATTGTTAGGCCGCCTCAATGAAGAGAAAGAGATCGAGAAAGTGGACACCGGGATAGATTTCAAGAGAGAGCGGGAGGCCCGTCCACTAAGTGCCAGGGCATTCCCTGTCCAACTGTCGTTACCCTAGTACCTTCCTAATTAATTAATGGTTCACAGGAATCTCATCTGCTGGCTGCATTAGTCGTCCGACATCCAAGGCTGGCATTTCCTTCTCAGCCTCGCCTCTCTTTGAAAATAAAATTTCGAGAGCTGCTCTCAGGAGAGACAATCAACACATTCATGCCAGCTCAGGTGGTCTTTCGAATACCAACATACGGCTCAGCACCCGGCCAATCTGGATATCTTGGGCGTCAATATATATCATCCAGGGACGGTACACCACCATGCCTGCGATGTTTACAACTTGCCCAGAGACATCATGGCCCGGTCCGCTGCGATAGTTGGTTCCTCCGAGACTAGCGACGGGATGGCGCCGTAGCTATTGTATGGACAAGTACGAAGTAGTGGCCGAGGATGATTGGATTTCTTTTTCATTTTCCGCCCTTGAATTCAGTTTCAGCAGAGTAGGACAAGTTAGTTATGGCTTAAATTATGGGTGGCCCACCCTCCTCTTCGCCATACCAATGCTCCGTATGGAGTACTCCGTACGTACACACGACTGCAGTTCCTTTTTCCTCATTCTGTCCAAGTCTGCAAACCGGTGAGATCGGCCGCACATGTCTTGATACATGTTACATTCTAAGCAGGAGGTGTGTCAAGACACTGTCTTAACTTGTTTGCTTTGGGAGAACTGAATCCGAATTGTGCTTCGTACGGAGTACTCCTCGTGGATTTCATGCCGCCAGGCCTCGAATTCTCGTCTGCTTGGGAGTATTGTGTGGCTGCGGGGTGCCTCCAATATTCCTTCCAATTTTGTACCAAAGCTAACTTAATTGCTACCAGATCTCATTATACACGATTCATCTTGCACCCCTGAAAATGCTAGGTTCGGAGCAACAAGACGAGGTGTATCCCGACGGACCAGGTAGTACATGAGCATGTTCCCATGCCTCTAAGCTCTGTCGGTGCGGCGCGGCGCAGCACATGGTATAACATTCACCAACGATCGGTCTCCAGCTTTATCCTGTAGTTTTGTCAGCCAAACACCTCTGAGATAAATCAATTTTGACAAGCACTCTGCTAGACAGAGTGTTTTCTTCTTCTCATGACGCAGTTGTAAAAGGCCCCCAACATGCTCGACTGTTTCCTTAGTACATAATCTCCCGCCACAAGCAAAGATACGAACCGGCTAGGCTATCATTGGGCAGCAAGACAAAAGCTGTGAACCTTTGTTTTCCTCGCTGGGGTTCAAATGGGAGCATGGGCTGCTTCCCGGGCTCTCAAGATGGCACATGTCCCTAGCCACAGCAGTTCCGCTATCCGGGCAAGTTCCAGTTGGCCAGCTCTGACCAAATCCCTGCCGCCTTCTTCGAGATCCTTGTTCATGGATTTGTCTCAGCTGCCACCTGGTGCTAACAGCTGGGAGGTCGTCGCAGGTGAAAGGCTGCTAAGTCTTTTTCGATGGCCAAGGATTTGCACACCTAAACCGCCATTTCGCCGGCTCATCATTTTAATTACTGGTCGGCCGCAACGCTACTAGTTCGTACAGAGTAGTACTTTGCCGTCCGTCACTTATAAAGTCGGCGCTCGGACGTCCTGGGTGTAGACGAGTCGCTTGTCCATTCAGGCACGAACAAAGCCCGTTCAGGTTAGACTTTGATGGCCGGCCAGGGATACCAAGCTTCTTGTTCCACCACGAGACTTGCTCTTCCAATTATCCTAAAAGGCAAGTATAGACGTGATGAATAGCCTAGGGAAGGTTAGATACGGCCAATGCCCGACGGATCTGCCGGGGAATGCACCTGTAGCGCTGCTGCGTGAGGTGGAAAAGTTCATAACCGTTGACTAGCTGGTCGGCAAGCACATCAAAGGACAAGGAACGAACCAATTGCGACTCACTGACCAGCTTTTTCACAATGACCAAACTGCTCGCCATTCCCGTTGGACTGGGTCTTCTCGGCAGCGAACGCAATGGTCACGAGGGGGAAATATATACCGTGGTGAGATTCGCGACGTTACTAGTATTGTGAAGTTTTGGTCACCTGCAGCGGGAAGAGTCGGTCTGATTGACCCACCAGAAAACGAGGCACAGGCACATGGCAAGAATGAATCTGCCGTGTATTTAACGGACTGGAGAGAGTGTTTCATTGAATGTCTTCAGTCTATGAATGATGGTTCGAAGGTCTGACACAAGTTAGAGACTTCGTGAAGTGGCATCAAGAAATCTGGAATGCTGGCAAATACAGCATACGGCATTTTTACTCGGTCTTTGAGAGTTGTACAACGAAACATGCCCGTGATATGGTCGCGATGGAACCAACCGAGGGCTCCACCAGATTACGGAATCGCGGATTTTTTCTGTGTCACCTACTGCTACTGCACCCCGTGTCCTGCATGGCGTCATGCTCGACTCCAGGAAATCGCGTGCAGGTCAATGCGGTGAGCACACTGGTCTCGTTGACGCTCCGTAATAAACCAGCAGCCCAAATCGTCGATGCCGCAAAACTTCTACTTCGTACCATAGACAAGGATGATGCGGCCATCTTGGACCTCTAAATACATACCTATCACCGTGGCCCCAGCATGATGCTCACGACGGAGTACTCCTTTGCATCACGGCCAGCGGCAAGCTTCTTGCGATGGTCCGTTCCATGGGGAATTGACGGCCCACTACCACGAGCTTTGAACTGACGGCATTGCGCTCCCTACAGTCCCTTACTAATGCCGGCGGCAAGAGACGCATCCTGAAAGGCTGCATATGGACCACCTTTTCCAAGAGAAGATGACAAGGAGGAGGCAAACTTCCCGAACGTGCGTCCGCTGCAAATCGTCTGGAGGACGCGGCCCAATCTGCGGCCCTTCTGCATGCAAGCCAATACCTAACTACTGCCCCTTCCATCTCGGCCGCCGCCCATCACTTCCCACCTCTGTAGTTCCTGAACAGATCGGCCTGCATGACAGCTACGCTGGAACTACAGAGACAAGGAGAGTGAGTGCATACATGACACCTTTTTCGAGGTGGGCCCTACTGCGTACACTTTACCGTCTGTTCTAGTGAGAAGCTGGGGTTTGGACGAAGCTCTACTATTCTCTCTCGTCTTGCTCATCGACGTCTGCGCCTACATCTAGGCAATATGGGGCGAAATAGGAAGCGGCAGGTATACGCGCATGCAGATCACTACCATCGTAATTTTCTTCGGGTAGGCGGGATATGATACACAAGACATGGGCTCCGCGCGGTGTACGCAGTACAAGGAAGCCCGTTCAGCTACGGATGCCCTCTTTAGGAACCACAATGGGGCAAGTAAACTCTGCCTGTTTACAGAAAAATCTGCTGCCAAGACGAGTTTGTCTATCATGCCAAATAGAAACAACACAAAAAACCCGTTTGATTGGTGCGTGTGCCCACCTGAACCGTTCTCGGCCATGAGAACAGAATGGGGAAAGACGTATGTATGTCTTGAACAGAGCATGGCCAATTTTGAGTTTTATCGACCGGACTTGTACGCATCATGTCTCTTTTTGTTCTATGTCAAGTCCCTGCCCTATGCCTTGTTTTAGATCCGTCAGTCTCATTTATCCTGCCCTGTCCTAGTCCTGGTCAGGCTGGGCGGCACGCCGGAATGTTTGCTGTGTCGGTTTTTAGCAACCTCGCTTGTGAAGTGCCTGCCGAGACACGTCCCCGAGCCGTAGGTAGACATGTCCCTTTGCTCGCCCTTGCCCTCGTGACCGTTCCTCGCGAGTGTCAAATCGTCATACAATACGGAGTAGATCTCAAGGTGGCCGGCAAGCCTGATGTAGATACTTCTTTTGTTCGGCCAACTTTGACGGCATGCCACCGTCGCAAATTGCAACATCCCATGATTCAGAAACTGGACGCTGACAAAGAAGACTGCTCCCTGATAATGCTGTTTGCCGGCTGCAATGAGGATGAACGGTCAAGTGTCTGCAAGGTCAAGACGGAGAATAAGACAAGCCCACCAGATGGCTCCGTCGGCGCGGCCTTTGAGGTTGGGCTTGGCCATAATAAACGGTCAGGCGTCGACGGATCCCTACCATGGCGCCACCCTCTGCGGAACAACCAGCCCTGACCCAGCACCCCAATCATCCAACGGCGCCCTCCCCACCATGAAAAGTTAATTATTGTAATCATCGTTTGATAATGGTTACTGTTGACATGGTTAATGCTGTCACAATGGCTATTTGAGGTGTGGGAGACGGCCATTAGCAGAGCTGAAAACCAGGGCAGAGAGACCAAGCACCTGCGTCCCATAAAAAAGACAGACATGGCGCCGAATCGCCGGCAGCTTTCTCATTTGCCCAGTTACGCGTCTGGCAATGGCCGTAATTCCCCTTCGAAGAGTTTTGATTGTGTAGATGGTGTGCATCAAGAGGCCAAAACGATGGGTTGTGGACTTACCAACGTCTTCATCTTCCAATTCATGTGCCAGTCCTACTCGTTGTGGCTGATGTTTCACGGATTTACCATATACAATAGCCGTTTTGAACTGTTCTACAATGGTCCTATGAATGGCGTTGCACTAAGGAAGTCCCCGATAGTTAGCGTAAGTAGATTGTTTTGCTTTTTTCTTCTCAGTCAAATCACGCGATAGAGCGGAAAGAAGATTTGGAATATTAAAAGCGAAAAAAGGGGCCAAAAGAAACAAAAAGAGACCATATCTCGTCGTATGAAAGAGTAGAGAGGAAACGTACAAAATCCTCAACGGTAGATCGGTTTGATCGTAATACCACAGGTGCAGAGTAATCAGGTTGTCTACCCTTGGGTTTTGTATAGACGCGCTTGAGATTGAGTTTCTCCCACATGGATTCCATTAACTCGTCGATGTTCCAGCCATGTTCGGAGCTAATAGGGACGGCGTTGGGAATGCGATAGAGAAGATCGAGTTCTTCGATGGAGATGGCATCGATTTTGTTCAGGCAGTAAATCACAGGGATGTAACTGTTCCATTCTGTCAATCTTGGCCACTCTAGAGGACTTAAAATCTGGTCTCAGGCGAGTTTGGTGATTCAAAATGCCTCTTCTAGGGATGGAACAATGACTTACGCTCGACTCTTGGCCTCGAGGACATCAATCAGGTCGTCCACGGTAGCATCGCAGCGGATCGTAATATCCGCAGAGTTGATTCTGTACTCGCTCATAACAGCCTTGATTTCGTCGTTATCGATATGTGTCAGGGGCACTGTGCTTGTAATGTTCAGGCCACCTTTGTCCTTCTTCTTGAACGTGATGTTTGGCGGCTCTTTGTTGATTCGGATCCCGAACCCTTCCAGCTCGGCCTCGATGACGCGCTTGTCTGTGAGGGGCTTGTTGACGTCGAGAACGATGAAGATGAGGTGGCAGGTTTTGGCCACGGCAATGACCTGCCGACCTCGACCGCGGCCGTCCTTGGCACCCTCAATGATACCAGGCAAATCGATGATTTGCAGCGGAGCGCCTGAGCATGTTAACCGCTGGTCTTTCCTTCCTGTGCAATTTCCCTTATCCAGGTGACTTGATTGCTGGAAGCACGGTGTTTTACTCCTCTCCCCCTGCCCCTTCACCACTCCGCTGGGCGGGGAAAGCACATTATATGCCAGCATGAGCAGGCGGGGGAAAAGCACTCACCATTATAAACAACCTGTCCGGGCACCGACGTCAACGTGGTAAACTCATACGCAGCTGCCTCGGAATGCTGCCCCGTCAACCGGCTCATAAGCGTGCTCTTCCCCACGGACGGGAACCCAATGAACCCGATACTAGCGACGCCCGTCCTCGCGACGTCGAATCCTGTGCCGCCGCCGCCGCCTCCGCCTCCGCTCGGCGTGAGGAGCTCACGCTTAAGTTTGGCGAGCTTGGCCTTCAACTGGCCGAGATGGAAGGATGTTGCCTTGTTCTTCTGCGTCCTTGCCATCTATTTCCATTTCGTTCAAGTTAGTGATGCCATGGAGACGAGTAGTCGGCAATGGTGGAGTTTCTTCATTTTTTTGTTCTCGTCCCCCATTGCTTCGATCGTACGCACCTCGGACTCAATCTCCTTAATCTACAAAACATGGTCAGCGCTCCGGCTCCTGGTCATCAATACTTTGGGGGTTGGGCAGGGTACAAACCTTTTCCACGGTGGTCGACATGATGGCGGCAGTCGGAAAGCCAAGCGAACCCGTGTCAGTACGTGTTCAGTGAGTCAGTGTCGAGATATCAAACTGGCCGGATATGGTGCTCCGCCTGGGGGCGTTCGTAGGTTAGCGGCAAGAGGTTTTTGGTAATTCTTGAAGACCAAAATCGAATATATGGCGGTGGTCGTTGGTGGTTGGTGGGGTAAATTTTTTGATGGATAGCCTATAGGCCAGCTTGCCGGACCAGCCAGTGATGTCAGCGATTTGTCCGCACAGTAAGGAACTACTACGTACGTACTGTGCTCCGGTGCGCTCAGTGCGTCATCAGAAATAATGGCATATAAACTAATGCAATCAGAGACGGAGAGTCAGAGTAGGTGTCTTGTCAGGCATGTTAATATATACGTCCCCGTAGCCCGCATTCCTCATAAATAATCCGTACTCGCAATGTCAACATGTCCGGCTTCCAAACATGCTTCGAGTGTCAACTGGGTCCATATATACATACGTCAATCAGGCACTCTGTCTGGTCTCACGTTTTCACATCGCTGTATCAATCATTATAAATCCGGAAAATTTGTACGTAACCCAGTCTCTCTTGGACGGCTACACACACACAACCAAACAAAGGTATCTCGCCAAAACTCATCACGTCAAAAACGCCTCAGCTGATGCTTTTCACCCCTGTGGTCCAGGCCAACCGAAATCCATGGCTTCAATTTCCCTTCCAGCACAAAGCAACTCATCCAAAAACAGTGTTAAGGAGTCTCGCGCTGAATCCGGCGTCCTTGAGATATCCCAATCCGGTTTTGCTCCTGCACATAATCACACAAAAACCTGCTCCGTCGCCTCCCGTCCAGTTCGTCGGGACCGATCACCGGGTTCAAAAACCAAAAACCTGATCCACCTGCCCAACCCGGGCTGATCAAACAAGAAATAACGAATCCATTGTATATAGACACTCGCATGGACCGTAACAAATGAAACCGAGATTAAACAAAGAGTAGCGTTTCCGGAAAGGGATAATTGAACAAGTGTATTGTCGGACAGCGGTGGTAGTCATCATAATCTGCAACGTTCATATCCCGTCATTCGTCTTTCATCTACCTGAAGCAGCTTCTTCTTCTGTTTTTTCTCCTTCTTCAATATGCATGATAGTGTTCCGTTCCTCGTTGGCCAGTCCAACTTAGCCGAGCTTAGTCGGAAGTGCCATGAACCCCATTAAGTCTGGTTGCTCCATTCGCCAGTCCATTGGTGCCATTAACAGATGGTTTGGACGGCGTCGTCGCTGTATGTATCGACGGCGATGAATAGTCTCCATTTGGTAGTGATGGTGTTTGCAGGCTTTTGACCAAGTGCTCTAGACCCTGTTCCAAGCAAATTCGCTCATAGTCAGGGTCCTCAGGGAACACCTGCACCAAGCCTCGTCGAGGAACTCTTCTTTCGGGGAACGGTGTCTTGCTTGTTTTATGGGAAATTGGTAGGTCTTCATCAACAAATACACCATTGATATAGTACTTATTGCGTGGAGCAAAGCCATGGAATCGCTCGACACCCGGGTCTCGTTTCCACTTCTGGGTTACTTTCCATCCTAAAAGTTGGGATTCGCTTTCCAATAACTCGCGGTAGTTTACTGCGATTCGCAAATTCCGAAGGTGGGGGATGTTCGGCACAGTATATAAGAAGTCAGAGAGCTGAAGTGACGTGGTTAGTAAAAGTAAGCAAATGTGCATATTTGCGCTGCCTTACCTTTACGAAGAACATGTCCAGAGTCTCAAACTTCTTCCATGCGTCCTCTGTCAACTGTTGCCTTGTGGAATAGTCCAAGCGAGAAGGGTCAGTGCCATTGTAGCAGCCAGGGAGTTGCCGGCCAAGATCCCATAGCTTTTCCGACAGTAATGTGTAATGAACCCACTCGGTTCGCCAGATCATGACCTTGGCTAGGTGGGTGACAGGTGCTCGTTCCCACGCAGTATCTGAAGTGGCACATATCAGTCAATTGTTCGTTTGGCAAGTTGATATCTGTACTTACATCTGGAAAGGTCAAGGTCTTTCTCGCCAAGAAGTAGGGCCACATTGGTATTGAGAAGCCACTGCTCACGGCCTTCAGCGGTCCCTGTTGCCTCTTGCCGGATGGTGTCGTACCGGAAACCCAGCATGTTCTTGAACTTCTCGGCAATAGCTCCGGTTTTTGGGCCAGGGTACATGTCTAGCCAACGGAGGAGAGGAGGAAGTTTCTCAAGACGAGCTCGTTCTTGCTCTTCACGTTGGCGCCTCTGCTCAGCCTCTCGTGCTGCACGTTTGCGCTCCATCTCCTCTCGATGAGCACGTTCGCGGCGCTCGCGCTCTTTTCGCTCTTCCTCTTCACGTTGTCGCCGTGCCTCCTCGGCCGCCTCGCGTTCCAACTGTTCTCGATGAAGTCGCTCCTCTTCCTCGCGTTGCCTCCGCTCCTCCTCGGCCTTCCTCTTCTTCTCCTCTTCAAGCCGCTTCCTTCTCTCTTCCTCTTCACGCTGAACAGCTTCACGACGCTCGCGTTCTTCTTGCTCCTTGCGCTGTTTAGCCTCTTCTTCTTGACGCTTTTTTTCCTCCGCGGCTTTCCGAGCGAATTCCTCTTCGCGTTTCTTTGCCTCTTCTGCCTGGACACGCTTTCTCTCTTGTTCTTCCTCTTCCGCCCTCTTCTTTTTGGCCGCCTCTTCTTCAGCTTTTTTCAGCCTGGCTTGCTCGGCTTCTTCTTCCTGCTTTGTGCTGTCCATATCCCGAGATTCCGTGTCCTTTACAGGCTCAAGATCAGGCATTGGTACATCCACATCTTCGGACTTGACGTGAATAGATTTCTCGCTGGATGCACAATGTCCGAAATTTTTCACTTCAGAATCACGCTTCTTGCCGTCTTCACGTTCCTTGTGGCTGGAAATAGATGAGGCTTTAGATGATCCATCACGAGATGAGCTGGATTTGCGCTGCCGCCCATCTTCGGAAGGCACCCGCTTCTGGCGAGATTCTTGGCTCTCAGCATCCAGGCGGCGTCTCTTGACTGGGAAATCATTGCCATCTTTATCAAAATCACTCGGGTGGTCAGGCGTCACACTTGTGCGATGCCGCTTAGCTGAGCCGTCCCCTGATGGTCGATCTCGTGATTCGTCTCGCTTGAGTGCCTTGGCACGATCATGGTATTTCTCAGAAAACCTCGCCTTCTCAGGAAAATCGTCGCTTCGAGATTCTCGTGGGCTAGAAGGCTCCTTATGGGAGGAAATTCGCTTGTGCTTGTCTCGGTCTCCTCGAAGTTCCCCCTTCGAAACAAGCTTTCTTCTCGGCTTAGCCGCCTCGCCTTCAGAGGACATGGCAGCAACGTCTGAGTCTGTTCGCTTCGCCTTTTGAGCTTTGTAGGACAGGGCAGGCGAAAGCTCGCGGTCTGAGATGGCAGAATGCTCTTTTTTGGGCCGACCAGGCCCCCTCTTAGGAAATTCGTCATCTCCCTTGTTATTGATGGAGTTAGACCGTCTCTTTTCTCCGGGGCTGCCCAATTTCGACGACTTTTTCTTGAGTTCTACATCTCGAGACGGGCTTGACAGTCGTCGTCTGCTGGACTTCGGCCCTTCCCCTGTCTCGTCCCGCCTTGCAGCCTTGTCCCGTCGACCCCCCGGGGATTTCATCTTAAGACCATCCTTATGGGATCGTTTATATTCATCGTAGGCTTCTTTGAGTTTGGTCTCCTCCTCTTTCCAGTTTGTCCCTTGTCGTCTCTTGGCTATTTCGTAATATGTCTCTCCCTTAAAACGCCGAGTTGGATCAAATCCCTGCTGTTCTAAAAGTAATTCTACAACCTTGATATTTTCTTGACCAATCGCTGCCAAAATGGGTGTCGCAAATTCGCCAGGAAGTGAGGCAACGGGGCCGGGGTCTGCATTCGCTCCACCTAAGCCCAACAATAGCTGGATTACCAAGTCATGACCTCCTCTAGCTGCAGCTACCATCGATTCGGGGTCATCATATCCCTCCTTGACTTGCAAGATACGGGCGACCGTCTCCTCGTCGCCTCGCCCGGCAGCTTGCCGTAAGGTTTTATCATCCAAGGGCATATAGAGCAAGTCATTCCTGGTCTTGGTTGAGCGAACAGTTCCGCTTCTGCGACCTGTGCTGGTTGAGGTTGTTGCAGCAGGTGAATGTCGGGGGCTGTCAGGGGCATGAGAGTCACGGGTATCATGACCGTCTCCATGTGAGTGTCGGTCTTCCGATGTTCTTCGCCTGTCACCCTGTCGTTTTTTGGCTTCAGAGAGGGCAGCACGGATTTCTTCTGCATTATCAGTATCGTCGCTGACGCGGTCAATAGGTTCCTCCCCATTCACATTGGCCTTTCGCGGGTTCACGCCAGCGTCGAGAAGCAGTCTCACGACGCCAAGGTGACCGTTGTCGACAGCGTCAAGCAAAGGAGTGTCCTTGTCGTAATTGACACATTCCAAATTGCAACCAGCGTCGATCAGGAGTTTCACAATATCTTCGCATCCATTAATTGCGGCAATCTGAAGAGGCGTATTTCCAGCATAGTCAGCGACGTTCAGGTCTTCGGGCCGTTCTTGCAATCGTTGCTTTGCCCCTTCGTATTCGCCACGGGCACAAGCGCGGGCTAATAATGTCTGCCCGTGAGCATCGAGATGTTTTTTATGCGGTCCCATCTTGGCCGGCGACACATTTGCCTCGGCTGAAGCCGGAGTGGCCAAGCTACGTAATTTAGAGCTGCGGGGATGGGGACTGCCACCCGTAGATGAGTCGTCGGATTGATAGTCTGTAGATTGGAGTGGTGGGGGCAGGCGTCGTTTCTTGGTACCCAGGCCGTTTGATGATGATTGTGATGGAAATTGCGTGGATATACTTCGTCGATGTTGTCGATGAGGGGGGGAGACGGACCGATTTCGGCCTTCATTCTTTGGGTGAGATGATCTGGGATCCTTGTGTCGAGCGGTATCGACACCGGCGCTGGTTGTGCGCTGACGGCGCGCCTTGCGAATGTCGGCCTCGTCGTCGGACTCGATCTTGGGAGCTTTGCGTTTATGCGGCACAAGCCGTTCGCCTGACTTGAGCTTATCGCGTAGAGATGCCTTTGAAGATATCTTATGATGGGACTGTTCGGAATCTGATGGTGATGAGGGAGCAGCGTCGGAACGCCGCCTTCGGTTAGGATGATGGTTTTGGTTTTGCAGGTTATGGGGTGGAGAAGCTGGTGAAGAGCTCATGCCACTTGAAGCTGCTTCCTTGTTGCGAGGTCGACGGTCCCTGTCGGCGGAGGAACCGGCAGAGACAGACGGGCGCTTGTTCCTGGCACCTTCGACTAGCCGGCTGCCAGCTGCGGAAGTGGCTGCTTCTTCGCCATCATGAGAGTGTTTTCTATTGCCGTTGGCGGCGTTTCCCTTGGCAGCGTCACCATCACTTTCGCTCTTGTCCTCCTGTCTCACTTTCCGGGCTTTTGAGGGTGAGTGGCCGTCCTTGCCCGGCAGCACGATGGTCTCGGCGTCGGAGTCGCGGTCTTCTGGTGCATCGTCGGGGCGGGCAGTCAACGAGGAGGTGGAAGCATCGTCGGCAGCGGCAAGGCCAGTCTTGGGCTTGGGATCCCGTGCTGGCGATGTAGCCTTCACGAGGGTCGGCGAATTGGGTTTCTTGCCAGTCTCAAAGCTTGGTCGCTGCTGAGGGGAAGCGGCAGCAGGCCTCGTCTGGTCCGACTCGGCGGCATTCTGCGCATCCATGTCATTTATCTCAAAGAAGAGCAAGCGACTACTAACACCATCCTGGGAGATTCGAGACGAGAAGTCTGATTAAATGACGCCGTGGAAGAGAGGCGACGCTAGACAGTTGAATTGAGCAACGATTCGACACAATCGACGAACGACACGGATTACAGCTGAAAATGCAAAGCAGCGGCGTCGAGAGCGCGCAAAAGGGTGTTGGGATGCGGATGACGAGTAATATGCTGCCAGATGATGCTGTAGCCCCTATCGAGGGCTTCCTTTGACGGGCCCCGACACGGGAGAACTGGAAGTGCGGCGCGGAGGGCGTGACTATAGTCTATCGCGTCGTCGCTTGTTTTGTCGCTGTCAAGAAGGCTACCTACCGGCAGATAAGGGATGAGGACTGTGTGTAGGAACGGTTGTGGTTGATGGAGAGAGGAGTGCCGAGTTGGAAGTAGGTGGCGGCGGCGAGGACGGTGGCAAAGGAGGATGAGATGGGATGGGATGGGATGGATGGCAGGATGCAAAGATGGAGTAGAAACGACACGGCCAAAAGCCAAAAAGAGCCCAAGCCAGGACCAAAGCTAGACACGAAGAATTGGCTGGGCTGGGCTTAGTGCTCAAAGAGTGGATTGACTGATGGGGATGGGGATGGGGATTGACGAGTGCTCGAGTGCGACGACCGGGCCTTGTGCGAACCGGGATTGGGACTGGCTGGGTTTGGCTGCCGCATGAGCCTGAATCTGCGGATGGAATAATGGTGATGGCAGTCAATTCAACCGAGAATATCGGACTGTCTGGTGCGGTCTGGTGCAACCCGGCGATTTACGAGGCCCTGTTCCCAGCGCATTCCGTCAATTCCATGCCAATATTCCAGCAAGACAGCACAATAGCTGGCCAGTAATTACCAGGTACCTACATATGTACCAGTGTCTATACCTGCCCTCCAGCTGTCCTCCAGTGACGGGCGTAGCTGCGCTTGCTGCTTGCGACCAGGCACGACCAGCACAACAGTTTGTACGGAGTAACTACTTGGTGCGAGTCACAATGAATATGGATATGCATGTCCTACAATCGCTCCCCATGCACCCACGGCCAAAGTCTGATCATGGCGCAATGATTGGGCCAGTGGAATGAAGGTGGGTCTGTCTGGTCCAGCTACCGCTGCGGACAAGTGGCGCAGTTTTGGGCCGAAACGCTGCGCCGCCCAGCCATCAAGCATCACGCGAGCCCCTCACCTTCGCGCCCTACGACTGGCCGCCTGCTTCGAGGTGCTCCGTCCTGCGTCCAATATTCTCAAACGGCATCGAGGCCCAATGCTTGCAAGCAGACAATTATGATTGATTTCGACGGCGAGAGGCGACGGGCCCAGGGTAGACATGCAATGAATTACATACCCATCAACAACAATCAACACTTGGTGACTAGCACTTGTTCTCCATGCTCTCCCGTCTCGCACAATTTTTGCGGCTTCGTCTCCACCCTTGACCCCCTCGCCCACTCACAGTGCCAACCACTCATCTTCCACCTGCAAGGCCCCCCCCTTCCAGCTCCGTCTATCGACAAGAGAGCCGTTTCTGCCTAGTTTCTTGCTCCAAGAAGCTGAAGCTCCAATCTTTATCTCCTTCTCCATTGCCATCATACCAGACGTTTGTTGGCCAGATAGCGCTTCACCGCCCAAACGTAGCTCGTGCTTTCTTCAAGGATACGCGCCTCAACTACACGGCACGAGCACCCGAGTCTTCGTCTTCTCACCATACCAGACCCTATTGCCCGATGCACCGTGCGCATTCTTCCATGCGCCACCTCTGTCTGCATTGATCTCCCCTTGCCGTGGCCAGTCTGACAGGTGGTCAGTGCAATCGCATCCGTCTCCATCCACGAACGACGGGGCAAACACTCCAATAAAGCTGGACATGCGTTCGATGATTCGAGAGACCTGGCATCAACCTTTGTCTTTGCTTTTGGCACTGCGTGGTCATTCGCCAAGCTGCGTTTTGCTTGAGCTGAATTCACCTTGGAACAGACTGTAGCACTGTTTGAGACACTGGTGCTATTGATTCGCGTTCCGTCTACTCCGTACCGAGTACTCCGCAATTCATCACACACAGAGTGCCACAAGACAGAAGAGGGGGAAAAGCGTCGTCTGCCTTGCGACTCCTCATCCAAGAGCACCAAGATGGCAACAAACCACGTCTCACTGCCGCCTTCGCTAGAAGACGCCAGAATACATGGCCTGCCGTCTGCGGCTTATTATATTCCTGACTTCATCAGCGAGGAGGAGGAGCACTTTATCCTCGGCAAAGTGTGTCAACCCCGGCCCCCTTCGCTCGCCTTCTTTTCAACGCATGGGCGTAACATGTGTCTTGTCACATTATCTCTCTTACTACTACTGACCGTGCCGCCCTAGATCGCTGGTGCTCCGAAGCCTAGGTGGAAACAACTCACCCATCGCAGACTACAAACCTGGCCGTCCGACCTTGTCCAGAACAGATTGCTTGACTCTCCTCTTCCTGAGTGGCTCGAAAATCCAGTTGTGTCCCGAATCTTGTCCATCTCCGCTGTCAAACCCGAGCCCGGCCCCGATCCCGGCCCCGACCACGAGCCAGAACACATCTTTGCTCAAAGCCCGCATCAACGGCCGAACCACGTCCTCATCAACGAGTATCCGCCTGGCGTAGGCATCATGGCGCACAAGTTAAGTATTTAGCTCTCCAACGTAGTACGATACCCCTAAAGCTCATCCGACCTAGGATGGCGCTGCGTATTGGCCTGTTGTGTGTACAGTTAGCCTCGGGGCCAGTCTCTGCCTCAACCTGCACCGGAGCAGAGGCGATGGTGCTATAGATCCAGTCCCAGCATGGAGAATTCTCCAGGAACCTCGTAGCCTGCTCATCACAACAGGTGACTTATACACAGACTACTTGCACGGCATTGCGGGTATTGAAGAAGACCTCGACCTGTCTGCGGATACTATTGTGAACTGGTCAACGCTACGATGCCCTCAGCAATTCGCAGATGGGCGCAATGTACGCCAGACAAGGACCAGCCTAACCTACCGAGACGTCCTCAAGGTATCAAGGATGGGGAACAAGCTAGGCATGTTCTCCAGACGGTAGCCCTTAGGCGGTAGAGTTGCACAGCGATTGTATAGCCATCAGAAGCGGCTGTTCCTTAGAATACACCCGGAATCATCCTCCACTTGCTGGCCACTGTGTCCGCTCCAAACTTGCCAGCATACCACTTCTTGGTACCGTGTGCCGTAGACCCAAGATTGGCTACGACAAAAGCCAGTCCACACAAGACGGAAACATTGAAGGTCTGGCCAGATGGTGCTGCCATGATCGAAATAGCCAGATATATGACACACTCAGACGTGTAGTGTGGGCAGATGATGTACTTGAACATTCCCTCGTCCGGAAGCGTATACTTGTTTAAGCTGGCCAAATATTCATGGCACTTATACTGCTCAAACCACGCACCAAAGAACACGGTCAACGTAAAGAGTGCTCTTGGGGTCAAGCCCACAGCCCTCGTGGGAGCTTGCCATGATTCAAGAATCGCCCCTTGTATTCATCAGCCACAGCCCTCAAACGCTGCGCCATTATGAAGCTTAAAAAAAATAATCATGACGGAAAGAGTACAACAGAAGGTAAAACTCACCAGACCCTTCCACCCAAACAGAAATACCCATAAGCCCATAAAACCCCAACCCCAACGCCCAATGCACCCACCACATGGGCGTCCTGCCGGGCTTCACCACCCCAAAACACTCATACAGTCTCCTTGCGCCCTGAGCCGCCATCATCAACCACGCGAGGAACACACGATCCAACTCTACCGACGGCCCTCCTGACAGAGAAACCTGTCTTTCTGCAATGAAAGACACAACTGATCCATGAGTAAGGTACTGCCATGCCCAGAAGGCAGATAGACTCGTGGACAATAGATAGAAGTGCCAGAAGTATGAATGCGGGAGCTGCCCCATGGCCGTCAGCTTGCTGAGCACAGATGCGAGCTTCGAGCTTGTCGGGGCTGAGGAGCCCTGTGGTCGACGAGCGCCGTAGTCCGTGAGCGTGCTGCGGGCTTCATTGGGAAGGAGTTGGAGGGAGAGGACAGATGCGGTTGCCAGGAGAAAGAATGTCTGACAGTATGTTGCAGGTGATGTTATCGTCAGTTTGTGTATCAGGGGCTGGAGGGCGTCCATCGTTGTTGAATTGCCCGGGGGGATGGAAAGGTTTCGTTTTTTGTCCAGGGAGCCTTTTGGCTTTCTGGCAATGGACTGGCATGTGAAGTTGGGCGGCGGATATGCGCTACCCTATACCTGGGGTTGGAAGCCCACGCTTCTTTTTTTGATGGGTCTACAAGGTCGGAAGTGGCTGGGGAAAATGCTTCAACTCGAATCAGTCGAATGGGATCGAAGTTTGTGTAGACTGTGTTATTCTTGAACAGTTGGCTCTTGGGTAGAAGGGCGTGCATACTCTAGAAGTAGGGAGCTGGTGACAGCACGTTTACCTGGATGATGCTTCGGATGCTGACTTGAGTTGGTACCATGCAAGGAGCAGGTGGACTCTTTTATTCTCAAGAACAACACGCCGGTGAAGTATCATAGGCCCTCTATTGGCCATGAATTCCCTGCTATCCTGCCTTGGGAAAAGAGTGCTCGAACGTGGTTGCGAACTGACCCATGCTATATGGACAGATAGCCAACAAAAGGTCCGAGATTTCCACAAAACTCAACTTGATCTCACAAGTCGCAAATTTTGCAAAGCCATCAGCTGGCAATGTGAATTGGAATTTAAACATGTACCGAAAAGAAGTGCCTCGCCCAACAACTACGGGCTTGTTGACAACGCCAATATACCAGGTTTGAGAGTTTGACTCGAGGGGGGCCATACCAACAAAGTTACATACATTCCTATACCCCTTCACATTGAAACAAAATCCTTTTACGTTCGTCATTCACAGTTTTAGTTTGTCCGCAGCCAGACCGAGGCCTTAGCAGCCAGGCCAGCGCTTGCACTTGTCCTTGGGGTCAACCCACTGGTTAACTCCCAGGCAGTCCTGGTACTGAGCCTTGCAACGCTCAAGAGCCCAGATGGGATTGTTGCCGCCCCATCCCCAGCATGGGAGGCTGTCGGAGCCCCTTGCGGACCAAGCTCCCGTGGAGACGGAGCCGGCGGCGGCGCAGGCGCCGGAACCTCCGTTGTCCGCCGAGGACCAGCGTTTGGCAATCTCCTGGTCCGATTCGCCGGCTCGCTTGTGCCAGCTATCCCTCCAGCCTAGGGACTCGCAGCCCTTGTTGTAGGTGGCGACACACTGCGTGTACTGCTCCTTGCAGGCCTGGGAGCACACGCTGGGCCACCTGGGCCAGGGGAAGCCGGGGCAGTTGCGGCTCTCAGCTTCGGTGTAGTACTTGAAGGGCTTCTCGTCGAACTCGTCCTTGCAGTCGTTGCAGCCTACGACGGGCAGGGGGATGCCGCCCACGGGCTTGCCCGGACCGTAGCCGTACTTTTGGTTGGTAGGCTGCGTGCAGATGTTGGTCGGCTCGGGAGGGCATGAGGTCGCCGGCTTCGTGGTCGGGGTAGCAGGCTTGGAAGTCGTCGGGCACGGATAGACAGATGTCGTGGTGGTAGGGGGATTGCTGGGAGGCTTGCCGCCGCCGCCGTGATGCCTGTTCCAGCAGTCCCATTTGCCGCAGCTGTTGGAAGGGCACCAGGATGCGCAGTAGGCGTCGATGAATCCGCACCAGGCCTTGAATTTGAAGCACTCGATGGAGCCGGGCCAGCCTGCATTCTTGAAGCACGAGGAAACCTGCTTGTGGCAGGTCTTCTGGGCAATGATGCAGCCGTTCTTGTCACCCCAGTGGGGGAGAGGAGGAGCACACCAGCTGCCACACTGCCACTCGCACTTGGGAGGGAGAGTTACCGTAGCCGTGCAAAGGTTGGTGGTGGTGTGAGGAAAATCCCTGGTGGTGGTAGTTGGCTTGGAAGTAGTCTGAGGCTTTGTGGTGGTGGTAGTCTGAGGCTTGGTAGTTGTGGTAGTCTCAGGCTTTGTGGTAGTAGTTTGAGGCTGTGTAGTTGTGGTGGTCTCGTGCTTTGTAGTTGTAGTTGTCTCGGGCTTGGTGGTCGTGGTAGTCTCAGGCTTGGTCGTTGTCGTGTCAACAGGCTTAGTTGTAGTCGTAGTACAGGGAGGCAGAGACGTGGTAGTTGTACCACCAGGCTTGTGACCACAAGGCTCAAGAGACTCAAGATCCTTGGCAACCCACAAGTTCAGTCGACCGCGTCCACCGCAAGTGTTGGAAGAGTCGCCCTGGCAAGGCATATTGCACTGAGAGGTATCAACCTTGGCAGTGTCGTTGGCCAGGACAACGCCGCACCAACACTCCTTCCCAAACTCAACACCAGCAAAGGGGAAGCCTTGCTTCTCGCAAGCCGCCAGACACTTCTTGGTGGTGAAGGAAGAGGCATCAAGGTCAATGGGATAAGAGAGAGTGCGGCCCTTGGGAGAATCGTCGGTGTAGCAGCCGAGAGACTTGTAGTCATCGACAGTGACGTCGTTGGGGCTCTTGGGAAAGGTGGGATCCTGCCAGATTGAAAGAGTGTTGTCACCACCGCATGTCTCGGTCTTGTTCCCGCTGCAGGGGAACGAGCACTTGGACTCATCGAGCTGAGCACCGTTGACGGTAGCACCGCAGAAACAAACGCCGTAGTACTCAAGACCAGCATAACGGAAGCCATTGCCTAGAATCACCATGTTAGCAACGAGATATGGGAGCTTACTCGACTCTGTTGGTACTCAGGTGAGGAGTGCATTGGAGTCGACGCAAACTCGGTTTTTTCGCTCAAGGGCCACATACCCTTGCAGTCAGCAATACACTTCTCAACTGTCATGTTCTTCTGGTCCAGGCTGGACCGGAAAACGAGAGCGTTGGGGCTGCCATCTTGGAAACAGCCCGAGTAGATAAAGGGCTTGAAAGGCTCAATGCAGGGAGGTAGCTCAATGTTCCACGCCTGGGTGATCGAGACAAGAGCCGCAGCCGCAACGGCCAAGACTGACCTATACAAGGTCATGTTGACTAAAAAGTGTTGTGCGAAAAGAGGGAAAGGCTAAGGGAAGTCCAAGCATGATACGGAGGATGAATAGGACAGTCTCCCACAACGAAGAGGGAAAAGCCTAGTGATACAGGAGAACCGAGATATTTTCTCGAGGTAGATGCCACAGGAACCCGAGGCTATATATTTGAGAATTCGCACGCTCATCAAGGATCGTCGAGGATCCCGGACCGGCAGTCGAAGCCCAGGCCTATTATGGATACTCTCAACTTCTACTAAGTCGGGATATGCAATAGTTACATGACGCTCACAGGATGATAGCATCCACGCGGGTCGCCGCATGCACCATATTTGGCCGATGATCTCCTGTTCCCCGTTATCCCTTTGGCGAAACCTGAAGGCCACCTGAGCTAGAGACTCTGGTCAAAGTCCCATGTTGGCGCTGACTGAGGTACATACATTAGGTAGGCAGAAGCCAAGCTGGCCAGGGCTGTTGAACCAGAAGCCCGAGCCGTACATTCTCGGATGGGATCCAGGGGTTCAACCGAGTCCAAAGCCATCGTTCGCCCAGTCCGGGAAACTGGCTCCACGCTCTTCGGCCCCGCGGACTAGGGGCTATGGCCAAGGGATGGCACAGCAAGTCTTGTCGGGTTGT